TTATAAGATTTCATATCCTCCTCATGGGAAAAACTATTATAAATCTTACAAAGTAGCAAGGTACTGGCATAAAAACAGACACATAGACCAGTGGAACAGAATAGAGAACCCAGAAATGAATCCACTCATTTACAGTCAACTCATTTTTGACAAAGGTGCCAAGAACATACACTGGAGAAAGGACAGTCTCTTCAATAAATGGTGCTGGGAAAACTGTATGTCAATATGCAGAAGAATGAAACTAGACCCCTATCTTGTGCCATATACAAAAATCAAATAAAAATAGATTAAAGACTTAAATCTAAGACCTGAAACTATGAAACTACTAGGGCAAAACATTGGAGAAACACTCCAGGACATTGGCCTGGGCAAAGATTTCTTGAGTTAAACCAATTTTTAAAAATTCTCAATTAATTTGATGGTTTTGAGAAAACTTGGATTAGGGAAAATGACTATTAGTAGTGAAATCCACGGAAAAATTTATAACTTGCCTTGTTCCAGAAAAATAAAGAAGCAGGCTTCAAGGACATCAAAAATACAATAGAGCATATATTAAAACAGAACCTAATTAATTAATTAAAGAAATAAAAAATGAGGTTGGGGACGAAAATAGGGTTAAAAATAAAGCTATCCACATTGAACAGGGCACCAGTCTGGTAAATCTGGAATCTTGGTTTAGCTGTCCTGGGCACAGCTAAAGGCAATGTCCAGTTATCAAGGCAGGGTGTCTGATCTGCGTGCCTCACCCTGACCCGGACTGCTTTCCTTCTCCATTGGGCTGCTGGCCCTTGCAGAGTATTACTCCTTCTTTATATTATTCTGAAGGGAGGGGAGAGAGGAGAATCAAACAAGGCATTTTTACTGATTAATAAAATTTTAGGTTTTTTTTTTATAAGGAAGCAAACAAACAAATGAAAAGCAAACAAAAAGTTGGCTGGAAACTAAAGTGCCATATTTGAATCCTCATATCATTTGTTTTTCTTTTTGTTTGTTTGTTTGTTATTTTAGACAGGGTCTTACTCAGTTGCCCAGGCTGGAGTGCAGTGGTGAGATCGTAGCTCACTGCAGCCTCGAAGTCATGGGCTCAAGTGATCCTCCTGCCTCAACCTCCTGAGTAGCTGGGACTACAGCCATGCACCACCACATCTGGCTAATTTTTAGAAAATTTTTTGTCACAAACAAGATCTATGTTTCCCAGGCTGGTCTCAAATCCCTGGCCTCAGCATCCCCACAATTCTGGGGTTACAGGCATGAGCTACTGTGCCTGACATCTTTGCTTTTTATTATAAGTATTAAGAGTTGTATTTCTCTTTAAATTAAGGGGAATTTTGGCATCTCTCAGTGGACTTTAGGAATTGAAGTGAGTTGTCCATGTTAGTAAAATCCCTATATACTCTGGGATATAGACAAATTTCTAAAAATACTATAAAAGAGAAGACAATTGAATAAATTGAACAATTAATGTACCTGCCAATTATCAAGGGTAAACATTGAAAGAAATACTTTCCTTTAAATGTTATATATCATATTCTTTTTCAGGTATTTATTGATGACCAAATACCTAGCTACACAACTCCACATAAAAATGAAAAAGGTTGAGACTTGCTTAACGTAAAATGATTTCAAATACAGTATGACCTATTTTTATTGTAATGGCCATAAAACAATTGATATTTGGGTTACAGTAGAAGAAAGAGGACAAGAAAGAACAAAGAAAGCTCCAGGCCAGGCACAGTGGCTCACACCTGTAATCCTAGCACTCTGGTAGGCAGAGGCAGGAGGATCGCTAGAGGTCAGGAATCCAAGACCAACCTGAGCAAAAGCAAAACCCTGACTCTACAAAAAACAGAAAAAATTAGCCGGGTGTGGTGACACACACCTGTAGT